TAATGGACTAACAGAATAGAGCACGATGAGAAAGAGGCCGACACATACACAGCCACCTGTTTGACAAAAGTGAAGCTGTAGTACAACAAGGACGGTCTTTTCAACAAAAGAAGTTGAGTCAAATGGATATGCATATCTGTAAGTAAAAAGAAATGACAACCCATAACATACACTAAAAACCCAGTTTCTTGTAGATTTGAATGGTAAATCAAAAAAATTTTTGGAGAAAAACAGAATAATCTTCACAACCTTGATAAAGACAAAGATTTCACAAGACACAAAAAATGCTAACAATTCAACAGAAGACAGTACTGGGAGTGCAAAAGTAACTAATAGGTAGAACAGAAAAATAAGCAAGTGTCTTGAAGAAGCATTTCACAAAGGAGGTTATCCAAATGGCCAATGAGCATTAGAAAAGGTATTCAATATCATTATTCATAAGGGAAATGTAATTTAAAGACACAGTGAGATACTATCACATAGAAGGACTAGAATGAGCAGACAAAACAATGTCACACGACTTGTGCACTTTCCTATATGTATGTTAATATCTCTAGGATAGCCAAGACAACAAGAGAAAGGCTAGAATCTTTAATATATTATACCTATTATTTTCTTCCTGTTTTTCTAATCACCTGGGCCTGTTATCTACTAATGGAAAGCAAACAGTCATATTTCCAGAATCAACTTAGTTACTTCTTAGATTCATGAATTCAAATGGTTATTAATTAATACGAGAAAAAAATTTTAACTCTCTAATCATTGACTAGGGTACTTCCTGCCCTCTCAAGCTTTAACGACCCATTTTAACTGACATAATTATATGTCAGTCTTTTCCTAATCTTTCAAGACTTTTCTTGTCCTTCCTGAAGTTCTAATTCACCACAGGAATGACAGCAAATACCTTTCAAGTCCTATTTTCAGAACATAGGCTGAAACTAGTAAGCACAGTTGTAAGTTTGCTTCCTGTTAAAATAAAATTTTTCTCTGATTCCACAGTAGTAGCATCCCTGTATAAGCAAAGGGATCTTTCAGAAGATCTGTAAACTATTAATAATGCCAGAATTTTTCTGTAGGTCTCAATGACAACAAACAAGTCATGTCAGGAAAAGGCACAAGGCACATACAAGACTGAGTTTATCAACACAAACAACAAACAGAAAATTCAAGACAGGGGACTTCCCTGTGGTGGTTAAGAATCCACCTTTCAAGGTAGGGGACATGGGCTTGATCCCTGGTCGTGGAACTAAGATCCCACCTGCTGTGAGGCAACTAAGCCCTCGTGCCACCACTAGAGAGAAGTCTATGCGCCACAACGATAGATCCCACACATGACAACTAAGACCTGATGCAGCCCAAAATAAAAAGAATCCAAGACCTTGTATTTAAATCCTATCAACAAATCCAAACATTATCAAGGCAGATAATTATTACACTTAAGTCTCACCACTGTCATCCATACTTGACAAGTTATCTTCCCCTCACCCCCAAAAGACTCATTTTTTGTAAAAAACTGCAAATTGGCAGGATTAGAGGAAGTATGTTTTTCATATATGTGTGTACACTAAAATATCATGCATCTTAAGTTTTAGCTTTTACTCTATGCTCTTAACTAATAAACTTCAGAAATCTGTTTTAAATAATTATTAAAAATTTCCTTCTCTACTCTTCTTGCAAAACAGGCAATGTCATGTTCTCTAAAAAAATATTTCTTCAATAAGGAAAACTTGGTTTTGAGAAATCAGTGTGAGAAACAGCATGACAGTGGTGAGAGACATATTCTAGCAAAGCCACCCTTGGGGGAGAGTTTCCGTAATAAACTATCTGCTCAGGTTTGAATCAGGTTTTTGGAGTTTTTTTCAAAATCAGTGAAGTCGCTTAGTTGTGTCCGACTCTTTGTGACCTCATGGGCTATATAGCCTACCAGGCTCCTCTGTCCATGGAATTTTCCAGGCAAGAATACTGGAGTGGGTTGCCATTTCCTTTTCAAAATTACTTAACTTTATTTATATGATTTTTCAATAGAAGGAATATAACAGGTACATGCCAAAATATACTAAAACAGTCACCAGTAGTAGTTGATCATAAACTACATGTCAGAGTAACTCTGCAATGAAATCTGTGTACTGCTCTCTGAGTAATTTCTGGTGGTCTCTTTCACATTCAGAAAGTAAGACCCTTCCTTAGTCCCCAAATGTCAGTTTCTTTCCTTACTATTACACAGAATGATCCAGAATCTTTCTACATGGTGATTCTATTCACCTAGTCTTGATTCTTACATAACTACAGGTAGTATAAAATATTCTTGTGAGTCATGGCCAGACTGAAAAAACCACAGTTATAATGGGCTTTATTAATTGTTACACATGGAGCTTCAAAAAAATGATTCTTCAATCAGAACCCAGTTTAACCTTTATGGCTAGATATGTAAAGATCATTCTACTTAGTTAAAAGCAAGTATTTCTTACAAAAGGTATATTAACCAACTCTAGCAAGATACACTGTCTGGTTGATATTTCAACATATGTGTGTTGGAGATAAGGATGATGAGAGCAAAAACAGAACTGCATCTCTACACATCCATGATTAGCTTTCAGCTACCTGTGGCTCAGTAACTCGGTTCTACATGCTAAGCCACTATAAAAGCAAATGTCTACCTACAACATGAACTAAAAGTAAAGAAGAAATGGAAGTCAATCTAACTTTGGAAAAACCAATTTCACATAAATCATGCTGCTCACATCTAAATTTCTCAAGAAATTAACTGACTGAAGGACAGCATGGAACAGGTGCCCTGAACACACTACTCTATTTTCAGAAAGCAGAATACAAATAACTGATGCATATCTTTCAGTGTTAGATAAGATTGAAGCATTGACTTAACAGGGCACAACAAACTCCCAGGGGCAATGGTGCTTTCTGTATCAAAAATGAAATTAGTAAACAAATTGTATCTGTAGCAATACACAGTATCAAATGTAAGGAAATCAGTCTATAAGAGGTTAAGCAACTGTGTACCAAACATAGCAGTATTCACTACAAGGAAGTCACCTTGGCCCCACTGATTATATTACTCCAAACAGAATTGGAACCCAATTCTATTCTCCTTCTGCATTACTGGTCTCATCTTCAGAGTCCAAAAAAAGTACATGGAGCAACACTTGAGAAAGAAACTGGGAAACAGAAGAAGAAACCACATGGGTTCTTCAGTGGACAGGGGGCAAATACTAGATGCATCCAAAGAACATCCTATATTCTGTAGCAGTCGCCTGTGTGACTGATGACCCCTTACATTTTCCAGTGGATACAAAGAAAATTTCTACCTTTTAAACTTTTAATCTAGTTAAAGAACTATAAAATATAAACATACAAATCGCTTCTCAAAATTCTCCAGTGTTATCCATTTCATTCAGAATAAAACACAGATCCTGAGCATTAACTTATAAGGTCCCACATGATCTGAACCTGCACCTATCACCTATCACTTTCCTCCTTACCTACTATATAAAGGTGAACAATTATATGAAAAAGTGTTCAACATCATTATTTTCCATGGAGATGAAACTGAAAATCACAAATTCAAAAAGTGAACTGACAACACCAGGAGTAGGCAAGGAAGATGAACAGTAAATCTCTCACACTGTTTGTAGGAGTTTAACTTTGTAATACCATTTTGAAAAAGTATTTGGCAATGGGTTGCTGTTCAGTCGCTAAGTCGTGTCTGGCTCTTTGCGACCCCATGGACTCCAGTACGACAGGCTTCCCTGTCCTTCACTATATCGTTGAGTTTGCTCAAATTCATGTCCACTGAGTTGGTGATGCTATCCATCCATCTCATCCTCTGCCACCCTCTTCTCCTTTTGCCTTCAATCTTTCTTTTTCCAATGAATCAGCTCTTTGCATCAGGTGGTCAAAGAATTGGAGCTTCAGCTTCAACATCAGTCCTTCCAATGAATATTCAGAGCTGATTTCCTTTAGGAACGACTGGTTTGATCTCCTTGCAATCCAAGGGATTCAAGAATCTTCGCCAGTACCATATTTCAAAAGAATCAATTCTTTGGTGCTCAGCCTTCTTTATGGTCCAACTCTCACAAGACTACTGGAAAAACCATAGCTCTGACTATAAGAACCTTTGCGGCAAAGTGACTTCTTTGCTTTTTAATACACTGTCTAGGTTTGTCACAGTTTTTTTTCCAAGGAGCAAGTGTTTTAATTTCATGGCTGCAATCATCATCTGCAGTGATTTTGGAGCCTAAGAAAATAAAATTTGTCACTGCTTCCACTTATTTGCCACGAAGTGATGGAGGCCATGATCCTAGTTTTTTGAATGCTGAGTTTTAAGTCAGTTTTTCAACTTTCCTCTTTAACCCTCATTGGCAATGGGTACTAAATCTAAATATACATATGTGTGATGATACAGCAATCCCACTCCTGGATATAAACACCAAAGAAATTAATGCTGCATCAAAAGACATGTACAAGAATATGTACAGCACTTTTATTCAAAATAGCCCCAAACTGGAACCAACCTAAATATCCACCAGCATTAGACTAATAAACTGTGATTAGAAACAGACAATGGACCTCTTCACAGCATTAAAAAAGAATATCTTTTTCTTGGTGGTCTGTTCTGGATTTGAGGTTTCAAATGGCAATAAGTATGAGAGAGACTTCTGGGTGCTAGAAATATTCTATACTTTAATCTAGGTAGTTGTTACACAAATGCACACACAAGTGTAAAGAGCTGAACACTGAAAATATGTGTACTTCCCAGTAGAGTTATGTATAAAATATATATTAAAATATAAATATACATATACTGTACACACACATAAAATGTCTATTAAGTTATATGTAATAAGTTGTAACAATACACTGCTCTCACTCCTCTGGGAACTTTTTGGCTGCCTCAGGTCATCTTTTACTTTATTAATTTTATTGATTGAAAGAAAAGGGAAGGGAGTGCTACACAGATAACTGATGCTGAAATAATTGCTTACCTTTAACAAAGGGCAGCTGGAAAGGTTGGGAAAGGAGAGTGGAAAATTAACCCCAAGAAGGAAATCCTTGTTTCTCAGATATTTCTCCTGGCTCTCCCCTTCCGGCTCTCCCCAGGAGCGCAGCTGATGGAGCCTGTAGGAGGCTTTCAGAGACAGGAAAAGAGCTAACCATCTGAAACAAACCACAGCAGACATGCTTATTCAGTGCTCCATGGAGGTTTGAGGGTAGTTCATAGCAGCAAGGAACCTTGTCTCTCATTAACTGTCTCTTCTGTCAATCCTGGGCATTTTAGACACAGTTCTTTCAAACAAAGTCACTTCATACTTTTGTTCTATAAATTCTATCTTTGGCATGAATTGGGTTTGCTACTATGAAAACGAAAATCCTCCGTAAAGCTCCTCTTAATGTTAAGGAAAATTCAACTCTTACCGCAAAACCTCTCATAAAAACATCCTCTTATAAACAAGATAAGCCTCTCCTAATGAGGTCATTATTTTTTATACAAATATAATACAAACCAGTAAATTAAGTAAAAGCCATTATTCCAAAGAATAAGAACAGAGAACTAAGTTTCCCAGAATACATAAGGCAGGCTATGCTACAATCTCTACTAAGTAAAGGAATCATCAGCCATCATTTGCCCTGAAGAAACAAATAAAACAAATTTCCACCTAGAAACTAAGACTTGAAGACCTTCTGGTAGCATTTGGGAAAAGAACCTAAACAGTTTTTATTTAAGGTATAGCATGAAGCATTGTACAATTATTAAATTTTCAAAAGAAAGTTATGATTTCCTTATAAAACCTTAATTCTTAATACAAAAAGAATGAGAGGCTCTATAAGATCATATAATACTAAATATTTAATTTCACAGTATTCAACATTTGCCCCTATTTATTCTCAACTGTTCTCTCATCAAACAATGAACAAACTTCTCACCTGGCTAAAAGTCCCTGAAGCATGAGGTTTGCCATTTCAGCTGGAGATACATCAATAAAGCGAAGGAAAGAGAAACAGCTTTCTTCATTAACACCTGGAATATCAAAGAACAAAGTGAAACCCAACAGAAAACCAAGAGACAACACTCAACTAAAGCCTGCTGAACTCCTGAATTTTGACTTAAGAATTTAAAACTATTCTAAAGGTTCCAATACAGCCACTTTGACAGAAGACAGAGTGTCATATTTTTGTACCACAATCCACAAGTGAAAGAGGCAGATGTATGAGATATGACATATACGGGCCAGAGTGGAGTTGGCTCATCAGTTACCTCTGGGGTTTCAGATCCTTGGCTAACTGTCTTCCTCTTTTTATTGTGCCAGGAAAAGGAAAAGAAAAGGAAAGCACAGAGGTGAAGAATTCTGAACTTCTGCCTCAATACTTTGGACAATGCTCAAAGTTGAGCAGCTTTCTTTCCTTAGACTAAGCAGGAGGGACCTAAAGAATCAAACTAACAAGAGCCTGCACTGTCTCTATCACACTTTTATTCAAGGGTTTAAGAAATTTTTAAGAGACAGATATAAAACAAAGATTGAAGGTCAATTGAAACAGAGAGAAAAAAAAATTTTTTAATGCTTTCTGTTATAAACACAAAGCCTGCTAGCATCTACAGATGAAGACAACTAACTTACTTAAATCTTATCAAGACTATAAACAAAAGCCTAGCACTCAGGCAAAGCCACTACTAGTTCCAACTCAGGAAAACAAAGACCATCCTGATAAATCCTTGGCATACTTTCCTTCTCAAAGATCAAAACACCTACCTTTTCTGTGAAAGAGAGACTGTTGGATATAGTCCGGTGCAAATGGAGAAAGAAGAACCCTTAACCACCTGTAAAGTAAATAAAATAAAATAAATCCAAACCCAAATATAAATATCAGGAAGTTAACTGGAGATTCCAAACTAAAAGAATCTTTGGGGGAAAAAAAAAAAGAATCTTTGAAGGTTTGAAACTGTTTCTACTTTTGAGAATTTTGTTGCCAGGCAAAAATGATACCATATAAAATACTAAATATTTACTAAAGGTAGGAGATGATAATACAAGTTCAAAGCAGTCTCATTTTATCTCACATTTCCAGAAACACAATTCCAGCACTGCAAGCTGCCATATACTATATTAAACAAAAACCACTACAACTCTGTTCTGTTAATCCCCTTGCCCATGTACTTAAGTATTAGCCTGGAGCTATCACAGACAAAGAATTCTAAAATTAAACCCAAGAAATCTGTCTCAGTTTCAGTAATGTCAGGCTAGATGTTGTTGATGATTATTTTGATAATATTGTTTGTACAGTTTCTATACAGAAGGAGCTTTCTAAATCTATGGTTCTCAAGTACAGGTGTACACAAGACTCCTTTGGAAATTTGTTTAAAAAATTCAAAAGTAATTGTTAAATTTTCAAAATAAAATTATTATTTTATGAGTGATTCTGCATGCAGAGGTGCAGAATGGACCTACACACCTATTTCCTGAATGGAAGTGGTTTCCAGCATACTACCATTAACAACTCTTCTTTTTTTTTTTTTTTTAAACCAAATCTGTCATTGTTGATTCTGGGGGAAAGGTAAATTTGATTAATTTGAAATCGAATCAGTTTTCCCACAAGTGCTATTCCAAGTGTGAAATAAGCCACTACAAAGCAATTTCATCAATACTTAGGCAGAGATATTTGTTGATCTCTCTTGGTATAAGTACATGTTTGCACACAGGTGAACATTCCTCATTCAGAAAGGGAACTGCAAGTAGCTAGGGCCTTTCAGGTCATCCAGTTAAACTTTTTTTTTTTTTCAGTTAAACTCTTGATAGTACACAGACCCTATCACAACATCCCTCAACAAACAGTTGTCCACCCATTGCTTAAATACTTCACTGTTGTGGAACTCACTCTCAATTAAGTTTATCTACTAAGCCACAAAACCCCAAATTACAAAAGCACTCTTAGAGCAAACAGATATTAATTAATATGTGCTCACCTGTCTCGTGAATGGTTGAAGACCCTGATCTGCCCATGACGGTAGATAAACTTTGAAATCTGGTATGGCTTTAAGGAAATATGAAATGGAGACCAAGTTTCTTGTCGTTCAAATAATTCTGGGTGATTACATACCTTAAAAAAAGGGAAATGATAAGACAATAGTATCATGTGCAGACATCACTATGAAGCAACGGGGAAACCCTAAACCTTGCATGTTTACCTTTATGAATATATACATTCCCATTTTCATTCTTTAACAGCCTTTGTTTATTTAGCATCAAGGCTAGATAAAGCCTCTTCCTTAAAGTGGGTTAGTAAAGACAACTCTAGGGCGCCTGACCTAAGCTCTTACCTTCCTAAACTGCATGACCAGATTCATGAGGCTGCTGGTGGTTGTCTGTGCTTGCTGGGTAGAGCCCATAGAAGACTGCAATAAATCCTCAATGGAAATTTTGTTCTTCAGTGCCTGATACAGCAGTTTCTGTCGGCTGGTCAGTTGGCAATACATTAGAATCTCAATCTAAAAATCAATAAGGACATTTATATTTTGAAAAACAGTTTGTAAGAAGACTCAGTATTACCATAAAGTTGGAAACTCATGCAAGGCAGATTATGATTGGAAAGAAAACAGTATTCGTATTTCAAGAAACTCAGTATCTCTATAAACTTGTGATATGGCTAATTTAAGAAACTCAGTATCTCTATAAACCTATGATGTGGTTAACGATCCCAAACATGAGCTTTTCTGGATCCTCTTCCCTTGTCACTCACTCTACATGCTGTCCATGGGCAACCTCTTCCATTTCTAATAGCACCAGCTACCATCAATCACAGTAACTTGCAAAAATGTATTTCCAAACACCCCTAAGCCCCATATTTCCAACTACCTACTAAAATAGTATCACTCAAACAGTCTGTAGCAATTGCATTTGTGGCATATCAGAAAAAAAATTTTCTCTTTCACAATTTGCTTGATTAACAGCATTAGCATTTACTAAGTTGCCCAAAAAGAAACTTCAAAAAGTCAGCAGTGATCTTTTCTCTTTCATACCCTATGTTCTATCATTTTCTAAGTCCCTCAACTCAACCTGGAAATTTTTCTCTAACCACCCTGACATACCACAGAATCTCACCATATCTAACCTAGACTGCTATTATTATGGGAGCTTCCTGCCTCCAGTCTCTCCTGGTTCCAAGAAACCTTCCATGCAAATCTTCTAAAGTACCCAAGTGCTGGAAAACCTTCAATGTAAGTTACTGCCTATGGTAAAATACTAAAAATTCTCCTGTAGGCAGAGGCCTCCCACAGTCTAACTCACCTTACTGTCCCAATCTCATCATGTTCTCCTGTATTTCTTAGCAACAAGAGTCTGAATGTTTGCCACACACGCTGCCTATTTGAATATTGACCTACCTTTGTTCATTTTGTTGCTTAGCACCCACTTCCCACCATATTTCCTAGTAAAAGCCAACTCATTATTCCAGATCTAGCTCACATGGCATCTCTGCTTTCATGAACCTTCCCTAACAGAACTATCCTCTTTCTGTGTTCCCATTATACTTCACACAGATCATCACTGTATATCCTATGATATAGTACCAGCTATTTAGATATTCATCTCCCTGGGAAACCTGAATAGAACCTAGACGCTGCATCTCTACATATCAGTTGCTCGCAGACAGTAATAGTTCAATAACATATATATTACTTAATTAACAGATTAGAAACATTGCTGATGTTTAAGAAATTTATAATACATGCAGTAGTTAAGAACCACACATCTTCTGATCACCTTGCTAATAACCACTAAATAAGAGATATTATGATGCTGCTATTGTTTTTAAGCTGTTTCTGATATATAAAAATCTCAAAGATCCATTTTTTTTAATGAATTATTTTCTATCAGGTACATCTGTGTGATACTTCTATTTAGGCAAAATCAGCCAGTTTCACAAAACAGCCATAAAGGTTTTTTTAAAGGAATAAAACAAAGGTACACTTCTTTCCCTCTCTTTGAAGGTGTATGTCACCACTACAATCCTATACGAGAGTTACTAAATTTCAAAATGATCCAGCCTCTGGCGGTGACAGTGAGAACCACCTGATGTTATCAAGAACCTGGAAAGATTCCTTTTATACAGACAGGAGAACTGTGAGAAACAGGAGTAATCTACGTGAGGCAGGAAAATACTCCAAAGGAGTAAGAACTGGGAGAAAAACAAAGATGAAAGGAGAATATGAGGAGGATTCACAAGAAATAACAGAAAATTACAGAGGTCGGATAAAAATCCAAAAAAATATATTTATGAACCATAATTATAGACTTTATGAGAAAAAGTAATACAACTCAAAGCACATTAAACTTCTAAACCTACCTCTCAGTCTGCAGAAATACAGGAGACAGAGGAACATGTCAGAGAACACCACAATGATGCATTTAGCAAAATTCAGTATGTGGAAAACTCTGGACAAACCAATCAGTTTCCCCAACAAAGAATTGCAAAAGGGAAAAAGAAGGGTGGGACTAAAAGATATCTAAGGGACATATCACCCAAACACTACATATGGACCTTGTTTGGATCCTGACCTCAAAAAGTGAACACTTTAAAAGAGAACAGAAGAAAAAAGCATACACAAATATAACTGGGGATATCTGAGCACTGACTGGGTATGTGATGCTACAATGAAGTAACTTCTTTTTTTGTAGAGATGATAACGATATGTGATTATATATTTTAAAAAACACCAAATCTAAAGATACATATGAAAATATTTATAAGTGAAACAAAAGACATTCAAGATCTGCTTCAGAATAATCTAAAGGGGTGAAGAATGATCATGGGTTGATAATTTAGGCTATATGGAGGATTCATTATACTATTCTTTTATAATATTTCAAATTCTCCATAATAAAAAGTATAAAACAAAAAAAGCAAAAACTATTACTTGCCTTGATTATTTGACTCATCTTATTGACTCATCAACGTCTCTGTTGACCCTCCCAAGTTTAAAGGTTTTCTCTCAAACTAATTACGCTTCAACTAAACATTTACTGAGGAATTTTTTTTACCCTGGAATCTTAAGTTGGTGTTTAATAAGTCCTAAAATCACAAGAACAACTTTCCTTACCTTGTCAGATAATTCATTTTCCACATCTTTCTTGATTCTCCTCAGCATAAATGGCTTCAATATCATGTGTAAGCGAGAGAGTTGATCTGAAATGGCCCCCAGACAAACAATACATTAAATCAATTTAACAAAAAAAAAAAAAAATATCATGATCATCTCTCACTAAACACCTCTGGCATAATGATTTTTTTGAAAGACTGAAACAATCTTTTCCCAGGTAGGAAGCCAAGGGATCTGAATTTTCCACAGCATCTTCCTATAGTCAATTGGGCAAATGTGTTTTGCTATCATTTACTCAGACTAACAAGGATGACTTTATTTTTATCAGAATTCACCTTCAGAATGTTTCAAGAACATGTTATCAATAATAGGGTTCTCAGATAGGTCTAATGCAAGCTATATGGGACTCCCAGTGTTAGCCCCAAAATCATTTTTCAAAGTGTGTCAGCATATTAACAACATGTAGTATAAGAAATTACTTAAGGACTTTTCTAATGGTAGATATCACTTCACATTATGTAATAAATACTCCATAACTCTCTCAAAAGATACTAGTCAAGAGATCAAAAAAATTTATAATAAAAACTCAAAAATGTTCAAAGAAGAAATAAATCCTTATAGAGAAAAAATACCAAAAATTACCCTTCTAATATTTTGTTTTTATTACAGGCAAAAAGTCTTACCCCATTTCACAAAGAATATAAAATTTTTCAGGATCTATGTGGAAAATGAGGATTTTGTAAGCCAAAATTGAACTCTGCCTGTTCTGCCTTGAGTAAATAGTCAACACTACAGCAGCGTCACTTGAGTAAGTCCTTTTTGACTCTTAAACACACACAAAGCACATAAAAAAGAAAAAAATTGTATTTTAAAACAGAAAAAACTTTTGTCTCAGATCCTCTTATGCATACTAGAAGAAAATTCTTTACACAGAAGAAAATATACAATTATGTGTTGCCTACACTAATAAGAATGAAAGTTCATAAAAGTACTCACTCTCATCTATGGCAGATTTGTTTTCGGCATGGCTCTCAATGTCCTTGGAAAACCATTCATTAAATTCCTCGTGTGAATCAAATAACGTTGGCATAATGAAATGCAACAGAGCCCAGAGCTGGAAACAAACGAAAAGTAAAATAGCTACAGAGCAATGAAATGACAGGATGTGAAGACATAATGAGCTCAGAGAGAGAAAGTTAATTTGCAGATTTGTTTTTCTGTGTCTAGGTGCATGTGTATGTGTGACTAAGTGAGAGTGTATAAGCACGTGTCTCATCAACCAACTTTAACAAGGCACTGTAGCAAGATGTGGTTATTGTTCAATTAATTTCACACTGAAAGTCTCGAAGTCTCAAAGTCCTGCTCAGATTTGGCAGTGAGACAGTTTTAAAATTTATACAAAGATCCCTTCCACAACTGAACACAGTCTGAGGTAGCAAAACTTGCTAATAATAACTCTAGATCAGGGATCAGTAAATTATGACTTGTGCCAAGTCTGGTCTGCCATCTACTTTTATAAATTAAACTTTATATTGGACATAGTCATACCTATTCTTTTATGTATCATCTATGACTGCTTTTACATTACAATGGAAGGTGACTAGCCGTGCAGTGACTATACGGCCCATAATTCTAAATATTTACTACCAGATTCTTTACAGAAAGTTTCTGATTCCCCTTTTAGATGATAAGAAAGAATTTTAGCTCCTCTCAGTGTTAAAGAATATTACCTTTTCATTCTAGTATAAAAATATCTCTGCATTAGATGAGTAGCATTCTTAAAGTGATCATTATTTATTATATAAGTGCCAAAGAATAACGAAATTTACTTGCCTTGGGCCAGAGAATAAGAAAATAGGAATGATGCCTCCTCTGCACCTCCCCCCAAAAAACCACATAGGGCAAATTCTTCCTTTTATATGGGGGATTATAAGCTGTATACAGCTATAACACTCTGGGTGGGCTTGGGTAAAGAATTCCAATGTCACTAGTGCCTACCTCTGCCATGGTGTTCTGAATGGGGGTCCCAGTTAGCAAAAGCCGATTCCGACACTGAAACTGCAAGAGTATCTTCCAACGAACACTGTCCAATAAAACGAGCGATAAATTCCAAGTTAGCAGTAAATCTTTATTTGCCCTACTGAGAACCCTTATTTCTAGAAATGCTTTTCAAAAAATAACAAACATTCAGAATCAAGCAATCTATAATAAACACAATTGAAAAATATCATTCAAAAAAGCTGAGGATAGGAAATTTCAAAGGAATTGACTTCTCTATACTGAAAACATGATATTAAGGTATTAAAATTTTAAAAAATCCTCAAATAGGCAGTGAAAGTGAAAGTGTTAGTCGTTCAATCGTTTGCAATCCCATGCACTATAGCCTGGCAAGCTCCTCCATCCATGGAATTCTCCAGGCAAGAATATTGGAGTGAGTAGCCATTCCCTTCTCCAGAGGATCTTCCCAACCCAGGGATTGAACCCAGGTCTTCAACATAGAAGGCAGATTCTTTATGATCTGAGCCAGCAGCGAAGCCCAAATAGGCAGAGTAGGATCCGTTCTGGCTTGATAAAGTCCTTCACTATCTTTAGTCAGTTTTGTTGATACAAACCATGTAACTGGTGGCACCAGTGGTAGAGAATCTGCTTGCCAGTGGAGGAGACCCAGGAGTCACAGGTTCAATCCCTGGGTTGGGAAGATCCCCTAGAGGCGGAAATGGCAACCCACTTCTGTATTCTTGCCTGGGAAATCCCATGGACAGAGGAGCCTGGTGGGCTACAATTCATGGGGTTGCAAAGAGGCAAACACAACTAAGCAACTGAACACACATAGTAGAAAGTTTTCAAATTATTACTCTTTATGCTTCTAGTGTGAGTTTGGAGGGAACAATGGAAAATGAGAAAGGGTGAGAAGAAAATACAAACTGAATCTACTGCTCCTGGCCACAAGCACGCCCTACTTCAAAACAGTGAAACAGGAAATTATGCTCTTCAGAGAATGGAAAGGTCCCTGGAAAATACTACTCTGCCAGTTAACATGGACTTCTAAGAAAGTCCTATGAATTCACCAAGAGTTAATAAAATCCATCAAACTCAAGGTCTAATACCACTGAGTAACACTTCAGAGTCAGGCACTCATTTACTATTCAGTTTGGGAGCGTAAAGGTATTAGAACATTTTAAACATGTAACTTCCAATTAAAGGATTCTTAAGAGTCTAATAACCATCCAGGGACTAGGATAACCTGCATAAAATAGTAGAAGCTATAATTCACAGAATTTAACATTCTGCTTCCTACCAAGATCTGTAAAGTAATCCCTCAAGCAAAGGGCAGATAACCCTTCCTCCACAGAATAAAAATCAGTTAAAATGCCATAATTATTGAGTGGGTAGGAAGAAGCTGAGAAAAATCCTCACACTCTAAACATTAATATTTATATGCCATGAAAACGCAACAAAGAATGTACGCCTTCTGGTCAGATACATGGTTTATGCAGATACCACGTTTTGAATTCTCTCTGATCTTCACTCTTGTGTGCGTATATCATACACATATCTATGTATCTGTAAGTCCTCAGTCCACAGACTTTATTTCTACTACTTGCATTACCTGGAACTACTCTTGAGTGCCTGAGCCTCATCCAATACCATGTACTGCCACTTGACTCGCTGGAAATACTTTACATCCTGTACCACCAGCTGGTAACTGGTGATAACCACATGGAAGGGGGCATCCTGAGTGTAAAGGGTCTTCTGTAAATAAAAGAGGGCAAGGGTGAAAACAGATACCTAAACAATTCATAATAAGACAGTGAGGAATGGACTGTATTTCCTAAGGCCAAGAAGTTTAAGATAGCCCTACAGATATGCTTCTCCCATGTAGGAGATGTGTAGTGAATTAAAGCATAATTGTTTTTAAAGTAGTCACCTTAATCACAAACCTTGTTAAACAGTAGTCATCAGCTTATTAAAGAGAAAAGTTCTTAATCCTGGCTGACTGTCTATAACAGGAAAAACATTGTAAAAAAAAATTATATTTGCATAGAAACATGTAAGATTTTATGTAAGAGAAATTATTCAAATCAACTGGAGAAATAATGACTACATATATGTGTGAATATGTATATGTGTGTGTGCATATGCGTACAGTAAGCTGAAAGTTACCTGACTCCAGAACCTCCTGATGACTTTCCTGTCATGAGGATTTCCCCAATATGGTAGCACCTGGAAAAAGGACCAATATGTATATTAGTTTCTACTGATAATCTTAAAAGTATTATCACAAATACAGGCTTTTCTGGTGGCTCAGGTGGTAAAGAATCTGCCTGTAATTCAGGAGACCTAGGTTCAATCTCTGGGTCGGGAGGATCCCCTGGAGAAGAGAATGGCTACCTTCTCCAGTATTCTCGTCTGGAGAATTCCATGGACAGAGAAGACTGGGGGGTCTACAGTCCACGAAGTCGCAAAGAGTTGGACATGACTGAGTGACTAACACTTTCACTTTCATCATTACCAATACATTATTCAGAAAGGCTTTTTTTAAAAAACTTAACAGAATGAATATTGGAATTCCTCTTCTGTCATTACTGTACTAGGAGTTGGATGAGCACTCTTCCTACTGACTCAGTTAAAACACAAATACAGAACAACTGTTTGAAGGCATCAGAGAGCTACCTAGGAGTCCAGATCTAGAAAGACAGGAAAGCCTAGCATTGTACATGTTCCCCTAGAGAGTGCTGATCCTTCCCAAAAGTTCTAGTTGAGACACTAAGAAACTGATAAGTTGTTTTTCTTTTTTTAAAGGGATACACAGTGCTCGCTTCGGCAGCACATATACTAAAATTGGAACGATACAGAGAAGATTAGCATGGCCCCTGTGCAAGGATGACACGCAAATTCGTGAAGCGTTCCATATTTTTATTAAAATGATTTCTCTTACTTCAAAAAAAGAAAGGGATACACAACCCACAAACAAAGAACTATAGTTCAAGGAGGAAAGTTTCTGATAACTACCCATCTCCCTGGCCTTAAGTTGGGAATGAAAAGATACATACACACTGGTAGTAAAGGTAAACTATACATACACTTGCTTTATCAGATTCTGAAATCTGGCTTCAATTCATCCCAACTCTTGGCTTACATTAATGGGGCTTTGGGTATTAGTGTCCCAGAAAAAAATTACTGTAGACAAAAAAATCCACAACAAAACCCCAAACACACATTAATCCTCTCTCTGGAAGAAGAAAATAACATCCAGAGCCCACAATTATCTCCAGAATTTTTCCTATACATCTGGTGTTAAAACAAAACCAAACCAAAAATTTTAGAAACAAACTTTTAAACAAATGCTTGTTTGTTCACAGAGATTTAGAACTTCAGTGTTACGCTAGAAATTACAAAAGAACCAAAGGGTATTTCTAGAACTGAAAAAATAACTAGAATTAAGAATTAAATGATGAGTTCAATAGACTGAATCAGTTGAAGAGAAAATTAGTGAACTATAAGAGAGGTCAGAAGGAAACATCCAGACCAAAGCATGGAGAAACAAAAGAATGTAAAACTCAGCACTTCGGTGATGTGCCTAGATGTAACTCTCATTCTTTTTATTGTTATGGGATTCAAAGTGCTTCTTGAATCCATAGTTTGATATGATTTGTTCTTTTGAAAAATCTCAGAAAGGAAGCACAAATATGCAGGAAGGGATGAAGATCAATGAGAAATGAATGTGAATAATATGAATAAATCTAAATAATTTCAAAAGTATAAATAATAGTAAAATGTCTTCTGGGGTTTAAAATATAAAATATATACAAAAATAACTGTGTTAAGTCTAGAGAAGGGGAGTATAGTTACAGTACTATACTAAGGTCTTTCTACTATCTGAAACATATCAACAGTATTAACCTGTATTTTTTTGAGAAAGTTAAGCATGCATGTTGTATTTTCTTGGGAATCTACTGAGTAACAGAATGAATATATAATTATCAAGTTTAAAAGGGGGAAGAAATACTACTACTTTCCCAGTAGTCCAGTGGCTAAGAATCCACCTTGCAATGCAGGGAACCTGGTTCAGTCCCTGGTCAGGAAACTAAGATCCCACACACGGTGGAGCCAAGAAGCCTGTGCTCCACAACTACTGAGCCTGCAGAGCACACTAGAGAGCCCATGCGCCACAACCAAAGACCCCGCGTGAGCCAACCAGATCCCTCGGTCTGCAACTGAGACTCAATGCAGCTGAATAAATAAATACACTTTATTATTTTAAAAATATTATTTATTTTATTTTTGGCTGTGCAGGGTCTTCCTTACTACAGATAGGCTTTCTAGTTGCGGTTCATGGGCTTCTCAGGGCTCAGTTGCCCTGAGACATGTGGAATCTTCCTAGATCAAGGATTGAACCCATGTCCCCTGCATTGTCAGGCAGATTCTCAACCAGTGGACCACTAGGGAAGTCCCAATAATATCTTTAAAAAATAAATAAAAGGAAAAAAAAAAAAGATAAAATCGAATCAATTCAAAAGGACTCAAAGGGAAAAAAGGAAAGTTAAACAGGTGAAAGAAGAAAGCAAAGAGGCAACATATTTAAAGCAGCATATCAATAATTACATTAAAAGTAAGCACAGATATTCCAAATAAAAGAAATACATGTTAAATATAAAGATACAGAATAGTTTAAAAAAAAAAAAAAACAGAGCAAGCAAACACTAACCAAAAGTGTTTGGAGTGAATATCAAAGAAAATAGATTTTAAGATTTTCCTTCTTAAAGGAAAAATTTTGTAATAATAAAAAGTTCATTCACCAGGAAGATAAAATTGTAAATCTGTGTACATCTCATTGTCTTAAAGCAAAAACAAACAGATGAAAACAAAAATTTATAAATCCATAACTGTTGTCAATATTAACACATCTCTTTCAGTCAGCAATAGGACAGGCAGACAAAAAAAAAATCAGTAAAGATGTAACAGAACAAGTTAACAAACTTGACCTAATCAACATATATACAATGTATTTAACAAGTGCAGAACAACTACTATTTTCAAACACACATAGGAACATTTATAAAAACTGCCCATGCCCTGAGCCATAAAAGCAAACCTCAACAAATTCAAAGGATTAAATTAATAATAAAAAGCATATTTTCTTATCAGTGGATTTAAGCTATAAATAACAAAAAGATACCTAGAAAATCATCTTTTGTTTAGAAAATAAGAAAAACACTTTTAAGTAACCCATGAATCAAATAAGAACTTGAAGTAGAAACTGGAAAGTATTTTGAATGTTAAGATAATAAAAATGTGACACCTCAAACCTTTGGATGGCTATGGTCATGCCAAGAAAACAATACCCTTGAATGAACATTAGAAAGAGCTGAAAATAAATCATTTAAGCTCCATCTCAAAATGATAGAAAGATAAAGAAGTTTACCCAAAAAAGTAGAAAAAGAATAAAGAAAGAGCAGAAATAAATGAAATAGAAAACATACTGAATAGTCAATTTTAGGAATGCAAAGTGGTAGATTAGTCAAGAGAAAAAATCTAAATCCTATTTCATGAGGAAAAGGAGGGAGGTCATAGGCACTAATCATACTAGAACCCTAAAACCAGTGTTACTCAGACAGTTGCCAAATAAAATGAACTTTTAGATGTTATCATAATAGATCTAAGTATCTTTTGAATGTAACCAGACCTTAAACTTGAGTAATGTCTACTTCTAACTATGTTCTGCAGGGAAGTGAACACATTTCTGACAATTTAAAGGAATAATGGTAATAGAAACAATGAATTAATAGACCAAATGTCATCAAACTTTTTCTATAAATAGCCAGATAGTAATTTTAGCTTTGTATGCCACAGTCTCTGCCACAACTACTCAACTCTGCTGTTGTGACGTCAATGCTGCCACAAATAATCAAATTTAATATTTATGTAATATATATCAAACATAATATATGTATACTTAAATTTCATATTTCATTTGCAATGAAATATTGTTCTTTTGTAAGCAACAATTTTAAAAAGAAAAAAAAAAAAAAAAACTATTCTTAGCTTATAAGCTGTACCAAAGAACTGGAGGTAAATTCCTCAATAAATTAAATAAAAAGAGATAGCATTTCCACCCCTAGGTTATACCCAAAAGAACTGAAAAGAGGACAAGTGTTCAAACAGAAACCTGTACATGAATGTTCACAACAGTATTATTAACAATAGCCAAAAAGAAGAATCAAAATATCCATCAACAGACGAATGGATAAAATACAGTATACCCAGAAATTCACTATAATATTATAGTCACTATAATATATATTATGACTGAATATTATTCCAATCAGAAAAAGGAATGAAGTGCACAACATGATGAACACCTTGAAAAAACTGCTAAGTGAAAAGAAGCCACATAAAAGGCCACATCCCAGGTATACAAAATATTCAGAATAAGCAAATCCACCAAGACATGAAGAAAATTTGTGGTAGACAGAGGCTAGAGGGAAAGAGAAATAGCGAAAGAGATCTCTGTTTGGGATGATAAAATTCTGCAACCAGACAGCACTGATTTTCACAACAAATGTACTTAATACTACTCAACTGCACGCTTTCAACTGGCCCAGAAGTCCTATTTTACTGACCCCTAAACTAGAGTTTCAAAAGGAAGCTCAACATGCAAATGAAAACTCAGTTTCAGGCACTGGTATAAAGTCAAAGGAGAGGGACCAATGATGTTAAGTAGTACTACATTGCCATCTATTGGCCTGTGAAGGAAATATTGAAGGTGGTTTCGAAGAAAACTTTAAGAATTAACTTTTTGACCTCCTAGTTGTTTACCATGTAACAACAAAAGAGCAGGAAAAAAGATGGATGCTCCATATTCAATGTGAAAAAACTCTATAGAGAAAATACTCAACAAATTGCCTTAGAATGACCTCACCTCCTTAGAATGAGTGGGCCAAGTTAAAAGCCATATACATCATGTGCCTTGTAAACAGTTCTTAGGTCTATTAATTCAGCCACAAATGTGTGGCCACAGACACAAAGGTGCCCCAAAGTGGAATATCTCAGACATGTCCCTGTTCCTTACAAAGCATAAGCCAGAAAAACACCTCCCATGCCCTCTTAAACTTCGTGGAACCTCTGTTTATTATGGAAACCCAAGATCAAAGATCATGTCAGTATCTCTTGATACATAATCGCCATAAAATCCTCCTTAATATGCAACTTCATTATCATTATATCCCTTTAGAGACAAAACCAGTATTTAACATTTTCTTTTTACTTGCAAATAAGATAATAAATCCTATCCATTCTTTCTTACATCCCAACAACTTTGCATAATTAAACATTTAAATCTTGTCCATATTTGATGTAACATATTTTCTTGCTGATCACTTCCTATGTCAATCTCAATTCTTTTCCTCTGCATTAGTTAAAATCAACTTTCACATTATTACCTTAGACATTATAAACTGGACCTAAACTGAAGACGTGGCTTTGGAGTGTCAAGAAAACTGATTATGATTTATCAAAACCTACATTAAGTCAGTCAGCAACATACATATTTTCTATTATGGCAGTACAACTAGGAGCTACAATTTATGTGGCCAATGCAGCAAAATCACTCAAACTGGACTTTGGCTTTCTCATAAAACAGAAGGATGCAATATGCTCTCTTATTGTTCCCATCAGTAACTTCAATAGGAAGTGTATGCAAGGTTATTTGAAAAAAATGGAAGAATTAAAAGCTATTATGAGCAGTTAAGGAAGGCAGCAAAAATGGAGTCAGAAAGTTTATTTTAAAAAGAGAACTGATTTTTACCTTAAATTTAGGAACAAATCTAGTAAACTCCTGGTGCCAATTGTTAAGTGTGGATGCAGGTGAAATTATTAAGAAAGGTCCCCAAATGTTCTCTCTCTGAAACACAAAATCTGCGTCAGCCAGCTGCAGGAAAACTGAAGAAATTTAACTCAAAATCATAATTAACAACAAGAATACTTTAATAGGCAATGCATTGTAACAAGAGAAATGGTTCCCATTTCTCATACCTGTAACACTCAATAATAATGATAATATCATATGTTAAGAAAAATAATATTCTATGTTACAGTAACACAAGAAAGGAAGTTGCTAGTAACATCTTGAGAAAAAAATAGCAAGCAATTACTCCCACTCCTTCCACCTTTTACAGGTCCTAATTTGTATCATTCACAAAGCACTTATGACATACTGACTTGTATGTGTTGCTTTTCCTTATACTAGATGATCACAACAATATTACTATTATTTAATTGGAATAGAGCGTTTTGCTTTTTTCAAAATGACTTCACACATTTTTTCTCATTTAATTCTTACAAAATTCCTGTAAGATAGGTATGAGCCCCACTTTGCAGACGTGGAAACTAAACCTCAGAGAGTTAAAGGGAATTCAGGTCAAAAGAGACTAAGTGAATTGTCCAAATTAACACTGCTAGTAAGCATAGAGCTGAGATATGAAACCACGTCTTCTGATCTAACTACAGTGTTTTTGCCACTACACTGGTGGTTTTCAACAGCAGATGGGGAGTGAAAACACATATGCTCAAAACCTGTCCTAATATTCTTGAAAACTAGAAAGTTTCACCACACTGTGTCACCTTGTAAAGGCCTTGAAGGCAAGGAGCAAGACTTAATGTCGTGGTATGCTACAGAATCTAGCATAGTGCTTGATAATGACTGATTCTCAGTAGAAAACAACCCTAGAATTGAGAGAAAGGAAGATGAAAAGACTGCATGCATCTACCCACCTCAGCCAGATGGGCCAGGAGGGCAATGCTCTGTACTGTTTTACCAAGGCCCATTTCATCTGCAAGAATGCCATTAATACCCTGGGGAAAAAAAAACAACAACAACAGAGTCAACCAACACCTCTCATGCAGCATTAATGCCAAAAAGAACTACCCAAGATGTCAGACCTGTTCAAACAAAATGACTAGAGATACCCAGTTTCAGCACTATTACTCACTACTATAATGATTCCTTTTGTCAATTCCAAGCTACAACTCTGAATCATGATACATGAGACAAATGGGCCAAGGCCAGTTTTTCAGCTAATCTAATCCAGGTACAAAAGCAATCAGGTTTACTAAGACCACTTAAGACAAACTTTATACATGATACAAATGTTTCCCAATAAAGTTTCCAGGTTAGAAACAGAGACATCTTTCTGATTCCTGCCAAAAAACAAAGCTTTTTTTTTTTTTTAAAGAATGAAATCTAAAACATTATCTTCTGCTTATTTCACAATATATAATTTACAAACAAAACAGAGGGGGTAGCACATAGTTCTAAAATTCACCTGTTCATAGAGATTTGCCAACCAATTCATGCCTTTCAGCTGATAACCTTTTAATTTGCCATTAAAAATTGTAGGCTGTGGAATATCCTCACCAGCCCGGATAGATGGGTTTGCCAGGCTATAACTCTCCCCAAACCCAGTGCCAGATTTGTTTGCTGCCCGCAAGGCAGCTGCTCGACTTTCTTTTGCATCTTCATCGAATGACCTTGTCTGGAAAATAAAAGTATATTAGAAGAAAAATATAAGAGGAAAATAATTAAATTCAAATGAAATTTATAATGCCAATCTATCTTGTGCCGGCGGGAAAAAACTTTCTGATAATGTTAATATATCATATTACATATAAAGCATGATATAACTGATTCTTGAACAACAAGGGTTTGAACTGTGTAGGTCAACTGACATGAAAATTTTTTCCACTAAATATGTACAAGAGTACTACATGATCCTGCCATTGGTTGAATCCGTGGATGTGGATCCATAGAAATGGCAGGCTGTAAAGTCGTACAAAGATTTTTGACTTCAGGGTGTGTTGGCACCACTAACTCCCAGAGTTTCTTAATGGTCAACCGTACATTAAAGTATATTACTAATATTTCAAAATTAATTTAACAGTTCTATTAAGAATACACTTTTGATAGACAGGCATTAAGCCATATTACATAATTACTTGCTTCATCAATGAATTTATTAAAAATGTGATATAAAATCTATTTGATTGGTCAGGGTTTGTGAGGAATAGGCTGAGTTTGTCTCTCTCCTTGACTTGGATTCTGTCAAAGTGAAAAGGGGTTCCTATGCAATATGTTAAATGGTGTTTACTTAATTGTGTTTAATTAATGTTTACTTAATTCTTTACTTAATTTAATCTAATTGTAGTTTCTTTCTGATTTCATATGTCACTGTATCATGAATAAGCAAGTTATTACTAAAGTGAAAGAATGTGCTAACTTAGCATTTTTAAGGTATGATATAACTTTCTTAACAATCAAGACTGTGGTATTTTTCACTAAACAATGATGCACTTCACTTGGTATTATCCATACTTAGAGAGGACAAGAGAAAAAAAAAATAGGAAAAGTCTCTTAGCTTTAGTCAACACATTTTTAAAGCTTAGAAAAATGAAAGCTCATTTCCCATCTTCCCTCAAGTATTCCTACTATTATTCTAAAGTAAATAGAGCTATAAGCCCCATCCAATACAGTCTCATATATATACACATTCAACAATGTTTTTAATTGAAAATATGATTAACCTTAAAGGAAGACTACTTAAGTGAAAGGCTGTAAGGGTATTTTCAGGACCCAACAGTTCATTTCTAAGACTCACCCGAGCCTGATGAATATGATAAGCATTTTCAGCATTCTTCAGGGCCTGGGCTTTGAAATGGTTACTATCTGAAAAGGGAAAAACTTTGATTATAACACCTCACTAACTGATCTCTTTCAAGGATGCAATTTACACTAGCATATGTGGATCCCTGACTCCACATTCTGTTTATCCCTAAATTCTAAGAGGGTGAGGGAGAAGAAAAGGATCCAATTACTTGACAGAGGTAAGGACCTGCAAGTGGTAATGGAGGCAGGGAGCTCCCATGGTCTCCAGGAGCCAAAGTCAGCTCACAAAAGCCACCAGGAGACTGAGCTCCAGTTTCCCAATCCTACATTTCATGCACAAAGCAATGCTAAAGTCAAGAAAAGCAAGACAATGAGGATTCAAAATTGTAATATATTTATACTGGGTGAAACTATTCTAAAAGATAATATAATAAAGAATGTTTAAATCCCAAAATAATCTGAAGCACTCTCATTTTCTCTCACTCAACATGATTTTCAGCACTATTCTCTGTGAAATTCCTCTCAAACTTTACACTAATTCCTCCCTCTCTGTGTGGTCACAAAAGTATCGAAATAGTCTCTTCTCATGTTTTACTTGCATCACCAAGAATCCTGTTATGTGAGAGACAAATTCACTGCATTCTTCTGATAAAATCTTTTATTTCTATTAACAAATCAAAACACAAAATCTCCCCAAATTTGCAAGATCAAATAACCACACCTTTTCCTCTTTAAATTCAATAAAAGCTTTTTATATGCTTATTTTATAGAAACATTCATACTTTCCCTACTCCAATTAAAATAAAGTTCCCTTTCGATCAACACTACTTTTTTTTTTTTTTTAGTTTTACCACTTTATTGCTACAGACCCATCTCCCTCCACCCTCGTGCATACATGCTCAGTCATGTAATCCCATGGACTTCAGCCCGCCAGGCTCCTCTGTCCATGGACTTTTCCAGGCAAGAATACTGGAGTGGGTTGCCATTTCCTTCTCCAACACTACTTATTGATCAAGACAAAACTTACAAGAATTGATAATGAATATAACCTGAGATATGAAAAAGTGTGGGGTGGGTATCTCCCTTCTCTAACTTCTGATTCAGGACTCACCATAATCCTCCTGTGTGATGTTAACTACCACCCCACCGCCAATGTCAATTTGTCTCTGTGCAGAACTATCCTCCAGTTTCCTTAAGATTTCTTCCTGGATCCCATCATGACCCATGTCTCGTTTACGACTCATGAAATGGGCATACAACTCTGTCTGGGTGATCAGGAAGTTCAGTTTTCGCTGTTGCCTCTTAGCCTAAAAAAGAGTTGAAAGTGAAAAGAGTCAAATCATCAGTCACTACAAGGGTAGTCAACAGCATTCACTAAACCTATACATAGTCTGCAAACAACTCCTTTACAAATTCTTTACCTTTAGAAAGGGAAAAATTGCTAATGAAATAATTTTATTTATAATCAAGACAGTGGCACTAAAAGCCAGGAATAATCTTCACTTATAGCCTAATAATAACCTATGTTTTGCTCTCCTTAACAAAATGAAATCTTTTTTCTACTAGGCTGCTGTCTAAAATGCTTAATTCTTTATGCCTTTGTTTTTCTTTAACAGCACTACGATACCAACTAAATTCAAACAACATATGTTACATAACAACTTTGGTGACAAATACAGGTGGTACAGCTTTATTTTTAAAAACATATATGTGTCCAAAACTCTTCTTTAACATCAAAAGTTAAAATAAGTGATGAAGAGCTACAAATTATTCTGCAGGAGGTATCTGAGACCAAGAAGCCTATGAAAAAAGAAAATGCTGCCCAAAACAACACATTGTTCATCTGTGATAATGATAGCTACAAAACATGAATATAGACTAAATACAATATCACAAACACATAATTTCAAAAAAATGAGAAAGATAAATTCAAAGTGCCTCTGAAATTACCTAGTAAGAAAAATAATCATTATGTCAGTAAAAATCATTCTTGAAGATAAACAATAAAATGAGTAAGCAAATGATCCAAAAGACTGAATTACACGAAATACAGCTCACACAATAATACCAAATCAAAGGGTCATTATTTTGCATGAACTATTTTATAGTAAAATTCCTATGAAGTATACTTGAGTTATCTTTGAGCCACCTGCACAAAAGAAAGACAGTACTAAAATAAGGAATATGGCCAAGGAAGGAAATAAGTCCCAAAGTATGTGACATAAAACCAGACTTCTCCTTAGGGTTTTTTTTTTTAAAAAAAAACACTTTAGCCAGATTCAGATTAGGGAAAAAAATCTTAAGAGAAAACAGATCTGTTTTCATAAAGTATATGGATTTTCATGCTCTAAAGCTAAAGTACTGTCAAGAAAACTTTTCTAAATTAAAACAAAAAAGCAACATTCCCTTATCCCGAAAGGAAGTAAATTGCTATGTGTTTAAATAAAGAAGGCAAATTAAGGGAATAAGGATCCACCAAAAATTTCTTAATTCAGAAACTCAGAGAAAAAGATGGAAGCCAATGTAATCACAGATGAAACTCTTCTCAGTTAGTTACCAACATATCGAGACAATGTCTCAGAAACCTAGATTATAAGCCAACTCACTTTCAAAATTTCAGGATCTATGACTAACTCAAATGCCTCTAAACTCAGTGAGCAAGTATTTCCAATAGCATCAAAAGCTTACTAACTCAAAACACATTTGACTTTCAAGTAAAGATACACATTGCCCAGGGACTTAAGAAAACTGGACAAAATCTATATTGCCCATCAAAGGCATGAGACAGGAGGGAAGATGAAGAACTCAAAAGAGCCTCCACAGCTTTGTTTTGACAGGAGTACTACTTATACCTGAAAGAAAACATCCAGTCCTCCAATTCCTTTCCTTCTCCAGACCTTAACTGTCCTACTCATCCCAGTGGGTTTACCAATGGCAACACAATGGCTTTGTCTTCTTAATCTCTCCTCTTGCTTACCGGAATAACATGCTCACCTGATATCAAGCTTAGCAAGAGAACTGACTACAAGTTAAAACACAAAAGTAGGTGGGAGAATGGGTCTCAGAAAACTGCAACCAGTCCTGATCTTCCAACAAACTGAAATTACAGCCAGCACCTGGAAACAAGCCAAGCTAAACTATAAGCTGTTCTCTTTTTCTTTCATTCTTTCCTTTTCTTTCTTTTTCTTGGGGGTGGGGCATGTCCTCCAGAAATAAAAGAATAAGGCTACAAAGAATATAGGAAATTAACACAAAAGAGAGGTGAAGGCCAGGGAGAAGATCTTACTAAAAGAATAAAAACAACTGATTTACTGGACTAAAATCACTGTCCTCGAAGTTATATCTTAAAATACTTTTTCGATGGTTTCATTGGTTAGATTTATAACTTATGAAATGTAAAACAATCTCTCAATATGGCTGCAGCAATTGTGGTTTCCAAACTTTTATGCCCTACCTCCCGCATTTCTTCATCCAACTTCCGCTGCTCCAAGGCTTCCTTCTCTGCACGTTTGCGGTGTTCCTTCTCCACTTTCTCATACTTCTTCCAGTACAGAAGCATTTCCTTGGTGAGACGGCGGGCACGAGGTAAAGTCTCCTTACAGTTTTTTTGGGCCTGCAATGCGGCTCGACGCACCTCCTTCATGCATTGGTGGGCGAGCTGCAGATGACAACACATTATCACAATGGAGGAGGACCAAACACTAGGGCCAGTTCTCCCAGGACTCTAAGCCACAGCATCCCTCAACATGCCCAGTGCATATATCGGACTCCTATGGCCATATCTTTTTCTCCTCCAATCTGATTAACGTCCCTGCATAGAAGTGTGAGCTAGTCCCAGGTCTGTGAGAAATCTACAGGCCTTAGAAGATGAAAAAAATATATAGTCACCTACAATGTTCTAGGAAGTTTTGAAGTATTATTAAACACATTACTAGTAAGAGCTGTTGGGAATTCCCTGACAGCCCAGTGGTTAGGACTCCAAGCTCTCACTGCCAAGGGCCCTGGGAGTTCAATTCCTGCTTGGAGAACCAAAATCCCACAAGCTACATGGTATGGCCAAAAAACTTAAAAAAAAAAAAAAAAAAGCTGTCAATATTTATTATATGCTAGGCACCATTCTAAGTTTAACGTAACTGATTCATTCTCCATAAAAACCCTATGAAGTTGGTATTTTATATATAGATGAGAAAATGAGGATGAGTAACTAGCCCAGGACACACAACTAGTAAGGTTGCCTCATCTAATTCTCACCACACTCAAACAACGTTGTGCTGTTGTTGCTGCAGCTCGGTTGCTCAGTCCAGTCCAACTCTTTGCGACCCCATGGACTGCAGCACGCCAGGCTTCCCTGTCCTTCACTATCTCCCAGAGTTTGCTCAAACTCATGTCAATTGAGTCAGTGACAAAGTTGTATTAATTCCTTCTATGGGAAAGTATTAATACCACCATTTCTTAGATGGAGAGTCTGAGCACAGGAAGATGCCATGGTTTGACCAAGGACTTAAGAGTGGGCCATGGTCTTACCCAAAAAGGTATGAAAGCCAGGAAGGCAAGGAAGAAATTTTATTTATAAAATAGATTGAAAACATTTAGAAACTCTCTCAAGTACTATTAATTATCAACAGGTCACAAGAGACAAGAACAGCAAACATAGATCTAAATAATAAGAACACATTCTAGCAAAACATAAAATGGGAAATATAAAACTATAATCTTACCTTGCGGCTATTGGTGAGAAACAAGTTACGAGCTGAAGCTTTCTGCTTGTTGGCCTAAAATATTTAAAACAATATTTCAATTAGGATTCCTTTTTGGAAAAAAGATTGTGTAGACTGGCACTGTCATTTATTGATCTCCATGAAGATTAAAAAAATGTCAAACCAAGTATATTCAAAGTACAATACTTTTTCAGTTAAAAAAGACACATCACTTCCAAGAGTTATCCAAATGTACCAACTCAGAACCAAACATAAAGTCCTAAAGCAATGTTAAAAAGAATAAGCTGGTCCTGTGTCTGCGAATTCTCTGTATACTTCTGGGAAGAATTTAAGTTATATTTAAGGCTTGAACTAAGAAAATGTAACAACATACACTAACTCTAGCACCACCCTGATGCTAGATTTGCCAATCTGCAAAGCTGAGACAGCAGGGCACTCACATACAGAAAACATTAGGAGAAAGGCGAACTAGCCTCTCAGTTTGTGATTGCAGTCCTACCTCCAGCCAAGGAACACCCACTGCCACTATTACTTAATTTCTACCACCACTTGACCTCATCTTCTTCAACATAAATTCCAAGGCAGACCTAATACAAGATGACTCAGCAGCCCACAACCAAGTCTCAAACTGCTGATTATGTCTTCCACTTCAATTAAAAAAAAACCAACCAACCATCTGCAATAAAGAAACCTGATTTCCCATGACAGCCCATTTATTTGATGTGAAAAGAAGAGACAGAGCCTAGTGGCTGATTATTAAAGAACTCTCCTCCTGACTATAAAGAAACAATAGGTTTAAAGTTACACAAAGGGCCTGAAAGTCATTTCAATAATAATCCCACCTCAAACTGTCTGATTAAGGGAATTTTTTTAGGGCTTTTATCAAAAATTTTCTCTAGAGCAGCTATTGCCACTCTAAAGATAAAAATCTAAAATACTCCCACTGAATTCCTTATCATCTGAAGGCTCTTCACCAGGTATGAAATAAGTTTTTCTGTCACTTTTCCCATTAAGAATGTTCATACCAAGTCAACAGGGCACATGAAAAGATGCTCAACATCACTAGTCATCAGAGAAATGCAAATCAAAACAAAAAGGAAACAGCATCTCACACCTGTCAGAATGGTCACTATCAAGAGGACCACAAATAACAAATGTCGCAGAGGATGTGGAGAAAGGCACACTGTTGGTGGGAACGTAAATTGGTACAGGTGCAATGGAAAACAGCATGCAGATTTCTCAAAAACTAAACACAGAACTGGCACATCATCCAGCAATTCCTCTCCTGGGTACATATCCAGGGAAAATAAATACATTAATTATTTAGTGAAAATATTAATTGATTAAAAAAGATACATACACCCCAATGTTCACAGCAGCACTATTTACAATAGCCAAGATATGGAAGCAACCTAAGTGTCCGACAACAGATGAAAGTCTGCCATTTGCAACAACGTGTATGGACCTACAGAGTATTAGGCTTAGTGAAATAAACCAGATAGAGCAAGACAATTACTGTATGTGGAATAAATTCCACTTTTATGTGGAATCTAAAATATAAACAAATGAATATAGTAAAACAAAAACAGTGTCGTAGATATAGAGAACAAACTATTGGTTATTAGTGGAAAGAGCGAAGAGAGGGAACAAGATAGTGATAGTGATTAACAGGTTCAAACTACTATGTTTTTTTTACTGAGTTGTTTATATATTTTGTATATTAACCTTTTGCCAGCCCTATCATTTGTAAATATTTTCTCCTATTTTGTAGGTTTTCTTTTCATTCTATCAATGGTTTCTTTTACTGTGCAAATGCTTTTAAGTTTAATTAGGTTCCATTTGTTTATTTTTGCTTTTATTTCTTTTCCCTTAAGAGACAGATCCAAAGAAATAGTGCTACAATTTATGTCAAAGGTTGTTTTGCCTATGTTTTCTTCCAGGAGTTTCATAGTTTCATATCTTATCAGATCTTCTCAGGTCTTTAATTTGAGTTTATTTCTGTATACGGTGTGAGGAAACTGAACTAACTTTAGAGTTCTGGAAAAGGTGCAAAAAATAGAGTTCCCTTACTACTACTCACCCCCGCTTTTCCTAATTTTAGCAACTTATATAATCATAGTACAATTATTAAGAAAGGAAATTAACACCAGCAAAGTATTGACTAAATTACAGGTCTTATCTGAATGCCAAGAATTTCTGCACTAATATCCTCTTACTGTTCCAAGATCCTAGAACAGGATCCCACAATGCATTCATTTAGTTGCTCTTCTCCTTAATCTCTTCCTAGATGTAACATTTCCTCAATCTTTCTCTTTCATGTCCTTGACACTTTTGAAAAGCACAATCAGTTATTCTGCAAACTGTCCAAAAATGTGTGGTTTTCTGGTGTTTCCTCACGACTGGAAAGAGATTATGCACTTCAGCAAAAAAAGCAGAGAAATGAGGCACTGATGATGTACTCCTCCCAGCATACCACATCAAGGAGTTCATGGTATGAAAATTTATATTACTCGTGATATTTACTTTGGTCATTTGGGTAAGGTGCACTCTGCCAGTTTTGAAGCTATATGAATTCTACTTCTCATCTTCTGCTCTCTAATTTTAGCATTCATAAATGCATCTAGTCTGCAACAAGTATTACTGTGGTATCTATGTAAGGATAATTTTATTTTCTTCTTTTCTTCTATATTTATTAACTGAATTTCATACTGAAAGGTAGAGATGCTCCATCCACACCTTTGTCTCCAGGTATTTATGAAGTATGGGCTGATAAATATTTCTTTTATTCTATGGGTTAAAATTCAGTGTCATTATTTTGTTGCTCAAATTATTCTAACTTTGGCCATGAAGTGGTCCTTCAAGTTTGTTCCTGTGTTCTTTTGACAAACCCCTCCTTCCCCTCCAGCTTTCTTCAGAACTTCCTTACTTTCTAGCAGCACTTAAAAGTGTTTTAAGGTTCATTTTGCTGGGTTTTTTGGGTTTTTTTGGCAGGGGGTGGGGGGGAAAGGCTGTGCTGTGTGGCTTGTGGAACCTTAGTATCCCAACCAGGGGTTGACGCACCAAGTTCTAACCACCGGACCACGAGAAAATTCCCTAAGGTTCACTTTGTATTCTCCCTGATGAGTTCTGGAATACGGTACTTCTTTAAGGAGCCCGGATTCCTTTTACTAGAGAATAAAAGTTGTTTAGAAACCAAGACCTGGTTGCCAGGTATCCTCACTGTTACTAGGGTGTCACTGCTACTAGAGGCGGAAAAAAAAATACATACACACCCAAGTATATCTCTGTATCTGGGTGTGTGTATAAAACCATGAATTTATACTGACACATCTGATTCCAATCAAATTTCATGGGCTTCATTTTAACTTTCCCCTTCTTCCTTACTTTCAATTTCCTTCTCCAGCCGTGAAAAAATTGGCTCTCACCTACAATATATTTACTTATTTGTTCAATGCTAATAGACACATAAAGTAGTTTCAAAACTGTTAACCTAGACCCCTGGGAGAAACACTTTTTCTATGTCAATCATGGCATTTACATATGGCTCCTTTACTCCTTACCCTTTCATATCTGATCAAAATACTGTTTCCCTCAGTACTTATATGAGGTCCTTGTTCCACACTTCCTGTAACTTGATTATATTACTCATTTCTAATACAATTAAGTATATTTGTTCCTATTTTTATTCCATTTTGCCCACACATCCCTCTAACCTCCCTCTCCAGCCACATCCTGACTGGTTGATAGTTAATTTTGAAGTATGTCAGAGACACGTAAAGCATTAGTATGGTTCTGAAAAGCAGTCTTGTACAAGATACACTCAAAGACTTCTTCCTCCTCATCCCTGCTACCCTGGCTCCATTCCTTCCCTTCTTTCTATCCTTTTCCCACCTGCCCTTTATAAGGAATCAATCACTTTAATTTCTGGTTCATCCTTCTTGAATTTCTTTTGAACAGGTATTTGTGCATTTTCTTATATTCCCTTTGTTCTCACATGAAAGGTATATTTACTTTTTTATGTTTTGCCTCTTTCATTTAACTGTATGTCCTAGAAATTACTTTCTATCAGCTCAGAGAGGTCTTCCTCGTTCTTTATTTTTAACAGCAGTATGATAATCCACTGAGTAGACCTGTCATCATTTAATTCAAGCCCCATATATGGACATTTAGACTGTTTTCATTATTTTGCAATTACAAATAATGCTACAATGAATAAGCCCATTTACATGTATTTTTGTGTGGTTACTTCAAGGTAGATTCCTAGAAGTGGAGGTGCTGATTTGAAAGGTAAATGCATCTGTAGATTATTAGGTGTTGCCAACTTTCCTCTAATACAGTTCTAATTTGTATTCCTAGCAGTAATGCATGAGAGCACCTGTTTGCCTAGAGGCTCCTTAATAGAATGAACTGTTGTATTTAAAAAATTTTGCCAGTGTGATAGGTGACAAATAGTTTGATTTTTGTCTAAGGGTATCTAAGTGATTTTTCATTTGTACTACCCCAATTATGAGATACTTTGAACTGAATCTGTGGTAATTTTTCCCCTCAATTTTTAAGTTCTTTCTATGTTAGAGACAATAGCCTTGTGATTACTGTATTCAATGTAAATAATGTCTTACAATTTGTCAGCTGTCTTTTGTCAGGCAAAAACTTATTTTTATGTGGTCAAATTTAAGAGTATTTTTTATATTACCTCTGGATGCTGAATTATAAACTCTTTCCTACACAAAAATTAGATAGAAATGCAATCATCTTATTCTAATATTTGTATGATTTCATTTTTTTACACTGACATCCCAAATCCATTTAGAGTATATGTGTGAAACACAGACCTAATTTTACCTTTTTTTGAAATGGCTATCTAGTTGTCCAGCACCACTTATTAAATGTACCACTAGTCTATCTGCCTATTCATGTATCAATATCACACTATTTTAATTGCAGAGATTTTATAGTATGTTTTAATGTTTGGGAAGGTTTTTTACTGTTTCTCTAGCAATTCTTGCATACTGACTTGTTCCACAGAGTTTAGAATCAGCTTCTAAATTCACAAAATATCCTGTTCATATTTCAATTAGGATTGCACTCAATTTATAATGAAGCGATTAACTGAATAAAATGCAAACCACTGGTGAATCTAAGTAAAGGAATACAGATATTCCTTGCATTTTTTCTGCAACTTTTAAGTTTGAAATTAGTAAATCAAACTAAAACATTCAAACAAATTAAAAGAGCAAAATGAATGCTTATACATGTTTTTCCTAATCATTCACATTTTCTTCTAATACCTGTGATTATTCAGTAACATCCAAATGTTTACAGTGTCTAAGAAAACACATCTCCATCATTTTGTTTTAATCTCCTGTATGATAACTTTAAAATCAGTTGTCAAATCTCTATTGTTTTATGTAAGAAAACTGCATTCCTTCCTCAAAGAGGTCTCCCTCCCTTTTTTTGGCAAAGGAGCACAACACAATTATCTTGTGAAACCTGATCAAACTCTAGAAAATCAATTAACCAAGGAGAGAACTATCCAGGATTCTCCCAATTCCAATAGATCGTCTCCCCGAATCCTATGAAAGAATCCAGCTCTCCCGGCTTCTCTCTGGAGGGCAGGCACCTGGAGGCACTGACTTACCTTTGGTAGTTCCTTTTTCACAATGCTGAGCCACACTTTCCTGCGACGGGCATTGAGCTGCTCAATGGATAAGTGCTTCTTCTTGGTGCCAGGAGGAGGTGCATCATGAGAGAACTTGGCAAAAACTTTGGTCTGGTGGTGGTGGCGACGAGGGGATTCTTCAGAGGAAAGCTCTTCATCTCTTCGCCTTTTCTTCTTCACTTTTTTCAACTTAGCTGCAAAGGAACAGACTCTTAAAAGGTTGCTTTTCTTCTCTTCCACAGGAGAAAGTAATAAAACAACCTTATCACTTTAAGAAAAATCAAGGTTCTTTTCTCATTCCACTTAGACTGGCATTGTTTATCCCTTTATCTATCCAGGTCCATGAATACTCCAAGAAGATCACACTACCTTGGAAAGGAACACTGGATACTCCCTCTGTTTACATGAACGAGAAATAAAAAAGAATGTTGAGAACTGAATTTCTTTTGAACCCAACAATAGGAAGGGAGGCTTACGAATTATCATGAGCTCAAGTAATGATCAGAAGGAAGGAAACATTTCTATTTGGTGGCAATGTGAGGTGACTAAAAAAAATAATAGAGAAAGAAATAATGCATTTGCTGATATGACACTAAGATCTGTGAAAAGAAAATTATACATGAAAGAAAAACCTAGCTTGAAAGGGAGGGTAGAAGCATGAGAAACTACAGAGATAAAACAAGGAGGATGTGGAAGAAACAAGGGAAGGTGGCTAAAGAGAGTTTTTCTGAATAGCAATTTAGGGGAATAAAATCTGTCTAGTACAGATAGTCTAAAACTTTCCTTTCCTATTTCCTTCCTGATTTCCAGATGCTTGGAACTCAAGAGAGGAAAAGAGATATCTTGGCAAACATGCAAACAAACACTCCTGAAGATCAGGAGGTGATCTATTTTAAATCACTACATACAGCAACAATTAAAACTTATTTCAAATACTTCAGGTTACTCCTCATACTTCCCTGTGTAACCAACTTCTTCCTCTCCCAGAATATTTTCACTATTTAGAGAGTATGTAGAAGAAAAAATTGGAATACACTAATTGACTTAAACCTCTGGCAAAGAATCTATAGTTCTCATGTCCTCATAATTCTAGAAAAGATCACAAAGCAAATACAAAATAAGTTTAGTAATACTTAAAACTAGTAAAGAGATAAAGGAGGCTAGGGTTTTTCAGATGAAGCAAATTTCTACAACATGGATTATGTTGAAAGTCTCAATGTACCTGAAACTAAGAAGGAGTAAAGGTAGAAGGCAAGTCAATACACTTACCTTTAAGTTTCTTTTCTTCCTTGAATTTCTTTTTTTTGGGTCCTAGAAGGTGCCGCTGCTGCTCATAGAAAGGGTCATAGGTGGAGAGCAGCCCTGCACTGTAGTATTGGTATTGCTGCAACTAAAGCAGGCAAAGACATGATGCTTAGAAGAGCCCGTGTCTCTTACAGCTCAGTCTTCAAATCCTCTCTATTAAAAAAAGTCATTCCAGAGGAAAAACCACAGTTGCTACATATAGTATTCTTCCCACAAAGAGACCAATGAAGATCTAATACATCAAAGTGAATTCTTTCCTTAACTTCAAAACAAAATGGTTTCACTGGCTATGCACACAGCAAGTTGTTGAAAATAACTTAAAAAAACAAACAAACAAAGATCCTTCATAATTCTGAGTCTCCACCATAGTATTTACTTTGTCCTGACATACATTTGTCATTGCAGAAAGGTCTTCTCTTGAATTCATCAACAAGAAACAAACCTATTTCTATTACCAATAAGTCCTTAGACTTACTAAGATTCCTAACACCTGCTTTCCCAGCTCTTAGTTTTGTTATGTGGTTTGAATAGTCCCCAGCCATCCAATTCCTCACTGTTTGAAGTCTTGTCTCTTCATTTCCCACTGAGAGAGTTTGACAACGTTATACATAGTGTTTTTGTTACCAGAATTCAAACATTTCATTTAAATTGACCTCCAAAGCTCAATGGGTAAATATGAAGATAAATAAATAAAATTAGGTAGTCCATTGTTGAATCTCTTTCCTGAATTATAGCCAAATGAATTGTCCAAGGACTGAACCTAGCATAAAAGAGTGCCGTGAAGAACTACTAACAAGGTCTATTAAAACATTCATCAAACTGTAAACTTAAGATCTGTGAACTTTTCCACATGTGCGTTTTACTTCAATTTAAAAAAAAAAACAAAAACAAATATTTTGAATGTTGCTGCTGCTGCTGCTAAGTCACTTCAGTCATGTCCAACTCTGTGCGACCCCACAGACAGCAGTCCACCAGGCTCCTCTGTCCCTAGGATTCTCCAGGCAAGAATACTGGAGTGGGTTGCCATTTCCTTCTCCAATGCATGCATGCATGCTAAGTCGCTTCAGTTGTGTCAAACTCTGTGCGACCCTACAGACAGCAGCCCCCAGGCTCCTCTGTCCACAGGGTTTTCTAGGCAAGAATACTGGAGTGGGTTGCCATTTCCTTCTCCAGTATTTTGCATACCAACTGCCTTAGCACTGTACTTTAAGAGGGAACTCCTTGTCTAAGTCAGAAGTCATATATCTTACTGTCACTTCTACAGGTTTGTAACTTTTAACATATTATTCAGAGCTTTCTAAACTAACTTTGGACCTTAATGGTGGAAAGCTTTTAGGTCTTCAAATATCCTATTACTCATTATGTACAAAGTACTAAGACTTCTGACAAAAATCAGAAGGCATTGATAACAGCATTCAAATAGTTGCCACTTAAATCATCAATCTAATGTTATTATGTGAAGAAAGGGAGTTTTTCCAAGATACGAACACTTTCAAAAAAACAACTGCATTAAAAAAGCAACCATAAGAATTTTAAATGGTGCAGCTGCCTTGGAAAACAGCCTGACAGTTCCCCCAAAAGCACAGTGTTACCATATGACCCAGTGATTCTTTTCCTTGGTATATGCTCAAGAGAAATAAAACATACGCTCACAGAGAAAACCTATACACAAATCTTCATGGCAGTATTATTCATAAGTGCCAAAAAGTGAAACAACTCAATATTCATAGCTATTATCCATAAAGTTCAAAAAGTAAAAGCAATCCAATTAGTTATCAAATGATGCATGGATAAATAAAATACAGTATGTCCATACAATGGAATATTATTTGGTAATAAAAAGGAATGAGGTACTAATAATACATGTTACAACATGAATGAACTCTGAAAACATTATGCCAAGTGAAAGAAGCTGGACATAAAGCACCACATGTTCCACTTGTACAAAATGTCTAGACTAGGCAATTTATAGAGAAATGGTGGATTGATAGCTGCCTGGAGCAGAGCGGAATGAAGAGAATGAGAGGGGAGTTCCCTAGTGGCCAAGAGGTTAAGATTCTATGCTTTCATTTCCATGGTCCAGGTCAATCTCTTATCAGGGAACTGCAATTCCTTAAGCTACAAGGTACAGCCAAAACTAAATTTGAAAAACAGAATGAAGAGCAAGAACTAAGGGGAATGAGACTTCTTTTTGGAGAAAATATTCTGAAATTAGATAGTGATGACAGTTACAAATTCTAGAATATACCAAGAACAACTGAACAGTGTACTATTAAAAGACTGAGCTTTTTTGGCATGTGAAATGTTTTTCAATTATTAGAACAACTACAACCACCATCTAAACAGAAAGTTACAAAGATATAGTTACAATTAATATAAACCAGAGGGTAAACACCCAGCATGAAAACCTGAGATTTCTCCTGGAACTCTTTACCTCCTTCTCTTTACTATACTTATTCTGGTGAAGTTTCTTGTATTTGTGCAGTCGCAACATATTATGAAGATCTTCTCTGTTGAGACTGAGTTCTTCCTCTTCATCATCATCATCTTCTTCTTCATCGTTGTCTTCACTATGAGAATCTGCCTCACTGGATTCATCACTGAGCAGAATGCTCTGAAAAAGGGAGAAAATGGAAATGGAACCTCTGATATGAAACAATTACTTTCATAATCCAAGGATTTTTTTCCCCAGTTTTCAAAATGACAAAAACAGCTGGAGGATAATCATTCTAGTCTCCCTTATACTATTCTTTACCAATTCAACTGAAAAACAAAAAGATATCAATTAAACCTACTGATCCCCTTACTTGGGGATGCTTTTTACTTAAAGCACTAAAACATGAGAAATGCTATCAAAAGCAACAAGGCTAAATTTCAGTTAGTACATACACTACACATAAGATAATTTAACTAAATGTCAAATTCCAAGACAAAAAACTAAACAAAAGCTAAAAAACTAGTAAGCGTAAAAGGGAATATAGAATGCTAGTTGTGATGGCTGATAAGGGAGAAACCACCCCAAAATCCATTAACGGATGAATGGATAAACAAAACGTGGTGTTATCCATATAACAAAGTATTATTTGGCAACTAAAATGAAGGAACAAGTACTGACATGTACCACAACATGAATGAACCCTGAAAACATTACGCTAAGTGAAAGAAGCCAGACAAAAAAGGCCACATTTAATGTTTCCATTTATATGAAATGTCTAGAATAGGCAAATCCACAGAGACAGAAAACAGATTAATGGTTGTGAAGGGCTGGGGAAAGTAGAGAATGAGTAACTGCTAATGAGTAGAATTTCTTTCTGGAGTGATGAAAATGCTCTTGAATTAGACAGTGGTGATGGCTGCAATAACTTTATGCATGTGCTCAAAATTATTAAATTATAAATTTTAAAAGGGAATATTTAATGGCATGTGAATTACATCTTGATTTTTAAAAATGTGACAGCGAAGCATAGAGGTTATTGCACTCCCAACAATTTAAAACCTCACTGACATGAAGCAAATCAGGACTTTACCACGTGAGTCTTTTAAATGCCTTGGTGATAAAAATGAAAGGATAACTTAAAACTACATTGAACTCTTCACAAAAAAAGTATAAAACAGAGAAATAATTAGTTTCATTAGAAGAAAGGCTATCCTTAATTGAACCGAGCTGACAGTAATCTTGTAAGAGTGTAAATGAGACTGCGTCACTCCCTTGCTTACAAATACTCCAACTGCTTACCACTGTAAAAAAGAGTTAAAATACAAATTCCTCAACACAGTGTACAAGGCCCAACATGAAAAGCTAGCCTCAGCTTCTACTGTCCTCTTACTGTGCTCCAGCTATATCAGCCTTCTTTACTTCCCCAAACATACCAAGTTGCTTCCTCTCTCAGGACTTCTGCCATTTTTCCTTCTTACTGAAATGCTTTTATCTTAAACCTTCACAGAGTTCTCTCTGATCATTCAGCTAAAATGTTACCTCTTTAAAGAAACTATTTACTTACTTACTACAGGCTTACTCCCTCCATTAGAATGTAAGCTACTTGGGGTAGGAATTCTATGTATCCATGTACAATAATGTTGCCCAAGGCAGGATGCTTCAATCAACATCTGCTGAATGAATGAACTACTCAGGTACTAATAAAAAATAAATTAATTATGGTTACAAGTCAGTAAAGGTAAGGATCTTTGGTTACAAGCCAGTAAAGGTAAGGATCTTATCTGATATATTTCTGTATTCCCTTGCTTAGCATAGGGCTTTAGTCTTAAAAACTTTGTTAAAATGAACTTTGCTGAGTCCTCTAGACTTTTCTCTATAATCTTTTAAAACACCACTCAGAATAAAAGACTCATGTCTAGGAAAATCTCTGCCAGTATACCAAAATTAATCAGTTACTTTTCTATTTGTAATTTTAGTGGGTTATTTAAATTATAAACATTCTACCTTATCTCTTACCTTTAGCCACTTTCTGCTTTTCTTCAACTTAGAGAAGTTATATAAATTCCCTTTGTCAAATTTTGATTCTGTGTAAAGAAACACAAAGAATAAAAAAAAAATGAAAGGATAACTGCCCCAAGAGAACTGATAGTTCAAAAAGGGATACACCACACTGACCTGACTGTAGAACTCCATTCAATGAGTATGTGTTTAACATTTCAGAATTGCTTGCTCCAGAAGTCTCACCAAGCAATGAATTTGGAGGTTCTTCCTTAACTTGTATCAAGGGATCCCCAGACTGGGGCAATAGAGGATTATTGTCATCCAGTCCATCTTCACTTTCATCACTACAAATTAAAGAATGATGAATCCACAATAAAAACTGACCTAGCAAAATATTATAATTTATGGTTAGTAGACTAAACACTTTACAGAAGAAATTGATCCTTTGGTTAAGTTGACTGTATTTTATTTTAAAGAAAGAAGGAAAAAAAAAATCAAACATTCTAAAACCAGTAAGATATTTTAACCCTAAAATCTACAGGAATAATGGGAATCAGAAATGTGGTAAAACATTACATTGGGAAGATGGAATACCATACCTAGAAATATTCCTGTTGAAGATGGCTGATGTTTGTCGCAGGAAATGGTCCAACCGGAGGGCCCTCTCCAGGTATTGAAGGTAGAGGGGCTTTGCCAGCTCAGTGCAGCCGCCATCGTCCCCGGCACCCAACTCCGAGGCCATAGAACAAATCTCTCTTCATGCACAAGGGTTTCCGACTGCACGGCTGCAGAACGGAGATAAGTAGTAAAAAGATGAAATGCTATTCCCTCTCCCTTTATTTTGCCTGCTTGCTATCAATGTGAAGAGAAACCAGAATATAAGTCTACAGATTATAAGGCACTGTCTCCTAATGCAAAGGAAGAAGTTAAAAGGATGAAAAAAAATCAAAACATAGAAATACTGTCATCTGTCATAATGAAAATTCATGATACTTTTCTGAAACAGTGCCTTCAAATTTATACTCAATTCTTTTTCACCCTACAATAAATAACTACACACAACTATCCAAATCTGTACCATAAATTCACTGTTGTACATCTCATAGAGGAGCACTTGTTCTCAGCATCACCCTTCCAAACAGCTACCTCCTTTTTCATTTTGTACTTACATTCATACATATGTGTGAGGTAGTAATTGTAATCCATTTACAAGGGATTAGATACACTGGCAAAGTATTTTATTTATATACTCTTTTATAAATATGTCATTAAATATAAATATTTAGAGATGATTTTAAAAACTGGAGCAAAGAGAAAAAAAGTGAGAGTGAGAAACCTGAGCATTTTCTTTGCTACCTTATGCTGTTAAGGAGAAAATTATAGAGTCAGGATGTCGTCACTAGAGAATCGACATGACAACTTTCCCCCAACAGTCTTTCATGTAACATCTTTTACCTTACAACTGGAGTTATGGGGTTGAGCCAGGATTAAATAATGGGACAATACAAAGCAATTAGCCCACCCTCTGATATACAGTGAGTACTCAACAAATAACAGTAAATTATTTTGTAAAGTTGATAATCCAATAAATTCGGGTATAATCTTTAAAGGAAACCAAGATATCTTTATCATGAGTTGTCTTCTCTCTTTATTATGAAGCATTAGTCACTCAGTCATGTCAGACTCGTTGTGACCCCGTGGACTGTAGCCTGCCAGGCTCCTCTGTCATGGGATTCTCCAGGCAAGAATATTGGAGTGGGTTACCATTCCCTTTTCCAGGAGATCTTCCCAACCCAGGTCTCCAGCACTGCAGGCAAATTTTTTACCACTTAGCCAGCAGAGAAGGGGCCTTTTTATTTTTATTATAGATTTAAAATTTTTCCTAATATAATCTTTCTCTTATATTCCCTTAATTTTTCCTTAAGAGAATGTTAAAAATTCTCCCGATTGTGCTACAAATTCAACATAATCCCTATCAAAATCCCAGCAGGCCTTTCTCCTCCCCCCACCCCAGAAATTGACAAGCTGATTCTTAAATTTATATGGAAACTCAAAGAACCTAGAATAGTCAAAATAATTCTGGAAAAGAACAGGACTGAATAATTTATACTGCCTGATTTTAAATGTATTTATAAGAAAGCTACAGTCATTAGGACAGTGTGATACTTGTATAAGGATAACCACACAGACCAATGAAATAGATCTGAAAAATCCAGAAATAGACCTCATATTTAGGGCAATTAATTTTCAATGAAGGTGCCAAGGCAATTTCAGTGGGGGAAAGGATAGTCTTTTTCAACAAATTGTGCTGGACAACTGACTATAACACATACAAAAAAGTGAATTTAAACCATTTACCTCATACCATGCAAAAAACAAATTCAAAATGGTTCAGAGATCCAGGTGTAAAATCTCAAAATACAAAACTTCGTTCTACAAGAAAAAAACCATCATAATTTCAGATGTGTCTTTACAAAGAACACTGGCAACAAAATAAGATAACTCAAGTAAAAAATATGCAAATGACTTTGGACAGATATTTTACCAAAGAAGATATACAAATGATTAATAGAACATGGAGAAGCTCAACATCAAAAACTGGAAATTAAAATTACAGAGGGATACCATTTATACCCACTAGAACGGTTCTGGTAAAAAGATAATAATTGCTAGGGAAGATGTGGAGAAACTGAAACCCTCATACATTGCTGGTGAAAATGTAAAATATTATAGCCACTACTGAAAAGTTGCTTGAACATTTGAATACAGAGCTACCATGATCTAGCACTTCCACTCTTTGTTATCTATTCAAAAGAAATAAAAACACACATCCACCATTTAAAGCCTTTTATGTGAATGTTCACAGCAATATTATTTATAATAGTCAAAAACTGAAATAATCTAAATGTCTATCAGATAGTGAATGGACAAACAAAATGTGGCCTGGACAATGGAATACTAATCAGCAATAAAAAGGAATAAACAACTCATATATGCAATAACATGAACGAGCCTCAAAATTTTGTTAAATAAAAGGGAGACACCAAAGACCATATACTGTAAGATTCCATTTATATAAAATACCCAGAAAAAGAAATCTATAGATACACAAGGTAGGACAGTGGTTTGCTGGAGGTGTAAAGGGGGAGTGACGACAAATGGATACTAGAGAACTTTTCTTAGGCGAGTTGGAAATGTTTTAAACCAACACTGAAGTGACGGTCGCACAATTCTGTAATTTTGCTAAAAAAATCATTGAATTATAACTTAAACAAGCTGAATTTCAAGGCATATAAAATATCAGCCTTGGTAACAAAGTAAACAATGTCAAAAATACTTAAAATACTTTTTATCAAAGTCTTTATAAAAATCTTTTAAAGTTCTTTTTTTAAAATGAAAGACTTCAATACATTCTACTTTTCAAATGAAGCCTAACATTTACCCATTCCAGATGACTTCAAAGAAACTTGGTGTTTACAAGCAAAGGGCTTCCCTGGCGGTACAGTGGTGAGAACTCACCCGCCAATGCAGAGGACAAGTTCTATCCCTGGCCTGGGGAAGATTCCACACGCCACAGAGCAGCTAAGCCCATGGGCCACAACTACTGAAGCCCATGTCCTACAGCCTGTGTTCTACGACAAAAGAGAAGCCACTGCAATGAGAAGCCTGTGTACTACAATGAGGAGTAGCCCCCTCTCGCCACAATTAGAGAAAGCCTGTGTACAGTAATAAAGATGCAGTGCAATCAAAAATAAAAACAAATAAATAAATAAAATAAAGCAAGGGATTTCCTCGGTTGTCCAATGGCTAAGACTCTGCATTCCCAGTGCAGGGGGTCCAGATTCAAGCCCAGATCAGGGAACTAGATCCCACATGCTGCGACTAAGATCCAGCGCAGCCAAATAAAAAAAAGTAACCATTAAAAAAAAAACTATTTAAAAAAATAAAGCAAAACTATTTTAGATAATACTATAACACATCTAATATATATACAAATTAAAGCACATCAAGCTGCTACTTGGAAGACCTAGACAGTCATTTTTCCAAAGAAGACATATAGATGGCCAACAGGCATGTGAAAATATGCTCAACAATGCTAACTATCAGGGAAATGCAAATCAAAACTACAATGAGGTATCACTTCACACCCACCAGAATGGTCACTATCAAAAAGTCTACAAGTAATAAATGCTGAAGAGGGTATGGAGGAAAGGGAATACTTCTACTCTGCTGGTGGGAATATAAACTGGTTTATCTGCTGTGGAAAACAACATGCAGTTACCATATGATCCAGCAATACCACTCTTGGATATATACACAAAAGTGATGAAAATTCTAATTCAAAAAGATAAATGCACTCCAATGTTCATAGCAGTATTCATAACAGCCAAGACATGGAAGCAACAGATGAACAGATAAAGATGTGGTATATATGTTGCAGCAACATGGATGGACCTAGAGAGTACCATACTAAGTGAAGGCAAACAGAGAAAGACAAGTATTATTATGACATCACATACATGGAATCTAAAAAATAATACAAATGAACTTATTGACAAAACAGAAACAGACTCACAGACAAAGAAAACAAACTTATGGTTACCAAAGGGGAAAGAAGGGGAAAGAGGGAGGGGAATAAGTTAGGAGTACTGAATAACAGATACACATCACTGTATTAAAATAAACAAAAAGAATTTATTGTGTTACTGAACCATTTTCTGTACACCTGAAACTAACACAATATGATTAATCATCTATCAGTTCAGATCAGTTCAGTTCAGTCGCTCAGTCATGTCCAACTCTTTGCAACCCCACGAATCGCAGCATGCCAGGCCTCCCTGTCCATCACCAACTCCTGGAGTTTACTCAAACTCATGTCCATTGAGTCGGTGATGCCATCCAGCCATCTCATCTTTGTTGTCCCCTTCTCCTCCTGCCCCCAATCCCTCCCAGCATCAGGGTCTTTTCCAATGAGTCAACTCACCCTAATCATCTATAGTTCCATAAAAAAAAAGAAAAAAATTGCTGCTTGGCTCCCTCCTAAGGTTTTATTACAAAATAACTGATATTAGGCTTTACTTAATTTGCCTGATAATGATCTTAATTAAGGGACTGTGAAGGTATGACTACAAAGAAACACTAGGTAATTCAAAAGGAACTATTTCTTAAATAATTCCTTAGTATCTAGGCTGCATACTAAACATGAATTCAAAACCAGTTAAGTCGAGGAAAGATCAGTTATTTGTATGGTCTTGTAAGCTCAATGTGCCCCCTTGGGAAACCCCAATCCTATCGTCTGATTCTCCCAGTATCACCTCTGTTAGCATATCACCACTGACAGCTGAAACAACAAATATGAAACAGCACTCTCTTATTTCCACAAAACTAAAGGAGGAGGTGTATGAAGTTCTTCACAAGAAGTTTAATGATGATATCTGGAGAATCAATTAATATTTTAAAAGTGTTTGACTAGATTTTGTCATAAAATATACATAACATAAAATTTACCATTTTACTGTTAAGTAGAAAATTCAATAGCATACACAAATTAAGAACACCCTGAAAATGCTTCTAAACTTCCTGTCAGATCCATCCCCCTCTTCATGTGAAGAGCGCCTTTTAAGATTCATCTAACCACAGGCTCTCACTGCAATTCCAAAGGATGAAAGAACTATTAATATATGATGTCAGAGCAATGCACCACTGAGTGACCTGGTCCATACCCTGAACTCTGGTTCTTTA